TATCACACACGTGTGTGTGTGTCAGTATGTGTGCAAAACGGAGCGGAGATGGGCTGGGGTTTTATTAGACTTGAGAGGTAGCATCTTATTCATATTATGGATGATGGTGGTGGGGGGAGGGGGAGAATCCAACGACTCTTAGCCCTCTTCTGATTCTCCAGCCAGCGTAATTATCGTTGTATCTAGACAAGAGGAAGACCAAGAAAGGCCTGGCCGGATGTGGTTAAAAAGGTCCTGGAACAAGATAACATAATATCCATCACCGACGCTACACACCTCGCCCAGGACCGAGACTTGCACCTCCCCTCGACATCCTAAGGATACCAGAGGAAGGAGAAGGTAAAGTAAACGTAGGTAATCTAGACAACTTTGATTTTCCGACGCATTCCGATCAAACACATCCGATCAATCGAATAGATGTACACCACGTTTTACTATAACCAATCAATTCTGTCGTGTCCACAGGCGGCGCTGAGTCGCGGGGAGGGTCTGAGGTTTGAACCAGCGCCCTACAGCTGCCTTAACCAAGTCTGCATCGTCAGCTCTGAAGACGGGTCACAAAGTTGTATAGTAAAACTGTATTTAAACCATGTCAAGGTGAGTGTGCTATGTTCAGCTTTTATTCCCATAGCATTATACCGTCGCTTTTAAGCACAAGGGGGCTACTCGAAAAATGATGTTTTGAGAAAATCGAACTTAAATTCTTGGACACTTGTTCAGTTTCTTTAAAAGACAAGGAGAGTTTTCTCTATAACCAAAAAAATATACACACCAATGAAACCAAACTTCTCCTATAGGTAGAACAATGCCCACTTTTGGTGTAGATCAAGATTTTTGGAAACCCCTGAAATCTGGGTTAGCCCGCTTGTCCTTAAAAGCGACCATATAGTCAAACTTCTGAGATGCCATTGTTGTATAGCTGTCATTTTGTTAATAATAAACTGTTTGTCCATGGGTATCTGACAATGACCAATGCATATGCAGAGGAGAATATTTGTTCTGAAAGAAAAAGGAACAAAAGGGATAAGGATTAATTAAGTTGGCTCGTTCTGCAATCAAAGAGACTAATTGTGGAAGATGAGAGTTTGCTTTATTATTTTGAGCATTTAAAAGCTTCATTTACGCTGTAGATATGCTCAAATTGCGGGGCTTCTCTTAGCTTCAGCATTTCGTTAACTTAGAATAATTTCACGGTTCTAGCTAACATTTTTTGGCTGTTTTGAGTTACTAACACCATGAAGTCAGGAACCAAAAAGTTCTATCTGCTCTGTTAAAACCGTAAAATTATTCAGATTCGTTATCAGAATATTTTAAAAAATTGCGCCCGATCCGAAATGGCTTGACATGTGGTGGAACTCAAAACTCAGTCAAATTTCTCTAAACTAGGTACTGAACAGATAGAATTTCGTACTTCTAGGGTGGCGATTTTCCTTCGTTGCTGCCCTAAACGCCAGATGGCGTAATGGGTAGTAAGTGAGTAAGTAAGGGTGGCGATTTCTTATTAGTGAACAAATCAACAATAATATTGTAACATTGTATTTAATCTTCGTCATTAGGTAAGGCATGTCCCCGCACATGCAATGTGTCAAGAGTAAATTTGTTTGACTGTCTCTCTTTATTTGTGAACAGTTCCATATCCTAAGTTACAACAATACAGTAGTTCGTCCATCAGTGACCAATGCATCTGTTGATGAGAATACTTCTTATGCGAAATAAAAATAAGGATTAAGGTTATAAATCCTTTGTGTGGCGTGCTGACAAAACGAGTTACTTCTCGCAATCCACAATTAATGGAGACAGTGACCAAAAATCGACATTAGGGTCAAATTGATAGATTTTCCATTGATGCCATAATATATTCTTTAACTGTAACCTGTCTTTTATTATTTCATACTTATAAATTGTAAAAACTTCACATAAAAGCGGGATGTATTTATTTCCTTAAGGTTTGAATCCGAGGAGTAATTCATTTTGTCAGCTCACTTCACATTTGTTGCTTCTGCTATGGCAAGTGAGGCCAATTTTGGTAGAGTTAGAGAAGCGTTTGTTGCATTTGGAGCATTGAAAAGCTCCATCACCACTTTCAATACACTCCACACAATAAAAAATAAGTAACAAAAAATGGAACCCTTTATGGTGCATGTGTTTACCTGTTGCACACAGCGAAGCTTATTGCTATACATTTGATTAGTTCGACTATTTCTGGGAAAGGGATTGTTTTCTTACGTCTTGCTTTCTTTTTGAAGTTGCTACTCAGTTCAATTTTTTAGAGTCAACTGGATTCACACCCATCTGCAGTTCCTAAGACTGGGAATTTCTGAGAACAGTTTTTAGCCTATCCTATCAGGCCTACTTTTAACTTCCCATGTACCATTGCTGTCGTCCAATGTGGTTTTTGAAAGTAAACTGTTACGTTCTCTCTCATCTGCAGTTTCTAGGACCGGAAGAAGCAATCGAAACAGAACGTTGTCGTAGAGAGTATGACGCTTCCCGCCACTTCCGGTCTGTGGTGCCAAACTGCTGTCCCGTGATCTACTTCTGTGATGACTCCAGTAGCCTAGGTATGCCTGGTGCACTTGTCTTCTGACAAAATAATATCTTCCGTCAGCTACCCAACAATGGTTAGACTTCGTGTCACAAAACTATTTAGAAAAAAACAACCGCTATGTCCATAAACAGCCAAAACACCTACATCACAGGTCCCCAACATAATTGGCAAAATTGTGTAATGCATTGATTTGATAAGCATACTAGATCATTCAAATACATGTATTTTGAATATTATGTTATACAGTAATAAGCCTAATAGATCGTGAATGATAATTACTTCTGTGATATTTGTTTATAATGAAATATTATGTTGTTATTTCTACAATATAAATTAAGCATAAGGTCGTGGGTTCGAATCCCGTCAGGGGTCCGACGTTGTGTCCTTGGGAAAGGCATTTTGCATAAATTGTCCTCACTTCACTCAGGTGGAAATGGGTACCCGGCTATAGACAGTGAACGACCTTGTCAGTTTGATAGTGTTTGAACGCGTGAAATCCGCAGCTTGCACTGTATGCTTCCGCGGAAGCCGAGAATGTTTCAGAGTGTTCTCAGAGGGTCTGCTGGGGTAATAATGGTTGTAAAGCGCATAGAGCATGCTCTTGAGCATGGATATGCGATATATAAATGCAA